CCAGCCGCCAGCCTAACTACCGCTCGGAGCCGAGCAGCCTGGACGGGGCCACAGTGGTGGGGGGAGGTGTAGGGGCGCGCAGAGGGGGAGGGGAGAGGGGTGAGGGCCCCGGGGGCCCTGGCGGGACTACTGGGGGATTGTCAGGGGGCATGTCAGGTTACTCCCTGACTGGGCGCTCCTACACCTCATACCCATCCTCTCTGGTTCTGTCCACTGGCGGCTCCCGCTCCTCCAGTCTGCGCTCAGCGCACACGGCACATAACCCGCTGGCCACGCTCCAATCAGAAGGCACCACAGACACCAGCTACAAAAGCCTGGCCAATCAGACGCCTCGGAACGGCAGCCTGTCCTATGACAGCCTGCTGACACCATCCGAGAGCCCAGAGTTCGAATCAGCCGCTCACGAGTTGTCGCCGCAGAAGCCTCATGCTCTGTTTCCCTCAGCGACTGTAACAAGCCAGCCTGAGGTGGTGTCACCCAGTACCCGGCTGCAGGGCTACACGTCGCCCTTCCTCTCAGCTCAGATTGCCCAGCAGAGGGAGGGGCAGCTGCTCCAGGGCTCTGCCACTTTCTCCTCCCCCCACAGGGCCTATCTGCGTGCCGTCAGCCCACCCCCTCCCTCCTCTGGACCTCCTGAGATCCAGCACCTGCTCCAGCATAACCAGGACTCTTTTTCCCGAGCCTCTCGTAATCCTTCCTCCTCATCCTCTTCTCCTGGGGTTCGCTCACTAGAGCCCCCTGTCTCCCCGCCACCTCGCGGCCTCTCCCTCGGCAAGTCCCATTCTTACACTGGGGAGGCAGGGCCTCAGCACAAACCTCGGCCCGCAGGAGGAGGCACTGTGCCGGGAGGGGGAGGAGCCGGAGGAGGGCAACAGGCTCCACAGTGAGTAGTGATCCGTCGCCAGATCCGTCAGCCTGCTACTCCTCGTTCTCCTTTTCCTCCTAATCCTCTTCTTCCTCTCTGGTTTGTGTCAGCCCTCCTCTTCCTCCCTGATCTGTGTGAGTCTTCCTTTTCCTCCTTTTACGGTTTACATCCAGCCTTTGCTTGTTTAGTGTTTAACAGTTGGATGTGTCAATGGAAGCTGTATTGGTTCAGTTAATTGGGAATGTGTGCATTAGTGATAACTGCATGCCAGTATGTGTTTAGCTCTGTGAAAGCATGCCTAACCATACTGCTGTTTATTTCTGTCCTTGTCCTTTTTCTTACTCACTAAGTATAGTTACCGAATGCCTTACATGATCAATGGTAGAGAAACATTTTGCTGTTTGTTGTTATTTTTGAAGTAGAACCACTCACCTCCACATCCATTTATCCTCTGTCCTCAATCCTAATCTACCCCCCCACCCCTCCCCTCCCCTCCCTGTCCTGATGGCTGTCCAATCAGATCCACCTCTCGCCCAGTCTTGGGCAATCACACCACATCCAAACCAGGGGGCGGGGTGAAGAAGGTGACAGGCGTCGGAGGGACCACTTACGAGATATCGGTTTGAGTGACAGACATCCATCGTTGTCTATCACAAGGAGTTTGGGAAAAAAAGTCACTGGACTACTTCAACTTACCTGAGCTGGATATTATTCACGACTGCAGGCCCCTCGAAAATGACTGTTCTCGGCTGACACAGACTAAAGGAGCTGGCCTGTCTGGTACTCACTTTGTTATCTTTGTAACGCCACTGGCCACTCTTCTCTGCTAGCCTTTCAAGATTTGAACAAAGAGTAAAAAAGGGGCAATGGTTCATTTTTCACAGGATCAGTGCGCCACTTTGTGAGCCATAGGCCGATGTGACTGTCTCATCACGGCTGGGTACAGATATGTCTATAGAACATGCATAGCTATTCAATGATTTGCTGTTTTACTTTGGTACATTGGCACACAGAGTATTGATAACCATGTCCGACACTTAAGGAAAGGATGGCCTTTATCCAGTGGATGCAGAATCTTAAAGAGGGGGGATTTAGGACTGTTGACCAGTAGAAACGTCTTCTTCTCCTCCGTCTGAACGGACCACACTTGTTTATTGATGAGTCATGGAGAGAAGAGTCCAACCTATAAACACAGTATCATTTTAGTTTTATAAATCTTTTTTTTTTTTTTTTAATATTGTTTTATATAAATGTATAAAATCTTACAGACTATTATTGGGTCAAATTGTCAGGTATTGAGGGTTGCAGACGTACTGTGTGTAATTATTCATGAAAGCGATTTCAAATCAGTTGCCTGTTTATATTTAATGGCTGCATCAGCCACTCATGAGCTCTTGCTGGAATTGACATCGTCCAAAGAGAATGATGATCCTTTGGTGGACAGCTGAAGTGGCAAATAATTGAGCTTAATTTTTGAAAGCCACAAAGAAATTCTGAATCACAGTTGCAGCACAAGCATCTTTGTGGAATGTACGCTTGTAATGTTTATGCTAGACATTATGCAAAATCTGTTTGTAGCTTTAAGATCATTGTATGTCTTTTGTGTTATTTTTTTTCTTATTTTCTGTAATGTTTTGTCTGTCAAGATGCTAGCAGAACCTTATACCTTTAACAGATGGCCAGCCAAATAGGGGCAGCGAGGGAAGGGCTTATTTATTTCTCCAGGCAAAACAACCTTGTAGTTTTGGACACAATTTCAAACCAGTTTCTCTAAACAGTTTGTTCTTTATTTTTTGGAG